ATTAAGTAAAAGTAAACCATTTCAAAATTATTCATATAAATTTAAGAAAACATGCGAGCTAAACTTTATACTGTATTTTCACTTTATACTCACTCCATATTACAACTAAAAAAATAATCTATTTCTGCGTGACTTCGTTCCGACGACCACAAAATATAATCGAGTAGCATTTTCTATTTCGGTGGGCTGACATCATTCAGCCGACCAATCAGCGCGTTGTGCCATCTGGATATTTAGTCGCATGTAAAGCTGAACCGGTTTCGACAATACAGCGCTTCCATTTCGCCACTGATATTCAAATATACAAAAGCAATTTTTTCGTTTTATTTTCCACATGTAGTATAGAAATTTGTAATAAGATAGGTTCAAATATAAATACATATTGTGCTATTATTTTCATATTTTAGAAAATACAAGGGAAACGGCGCTTCCACCGCTTCCAAGGACGGCACACCACTGTGATCCACCCCATTTATCAGTTATGAGTGTAACTGATAACCGAATCTTAGGAACTGTTGCTCGCGCATATTCTTTATCTGTATCCAAATTCGCTTCTCCAATTACGCAAATTGCCACTGGAAAGTAACTTTCAATACGAAGCAAGGAATCTCCGTGGAAAACAATTTCATCTTAAAGTGACGTTTGATTATGGTGTAGACATTAATAAATTAATAATTAGTTTTATTTGTAATAATATTTAGATGCTAATCTTACACATATGAGCATAATCGTGTACATGATTGTTTTCTGATATAAACTGTATTGTGATGTTTCTGCAACTTCCGCCATGTTCTTTTCAGAAGCGTCTTAAGGCGTCTTAATTAAACCGACATTTAGTGTCGGTTTAATTAAGTACAGCTTGAACATGGCGGAAGTTGCAGGGATATCACAAATACAGTTTATATCAGAAGGTACACGATTATAGGTGCGTTTACTTTTTGCTAGCTTCCAAGCTCGCCGAGCTGACACCTAGCGCAGCCTGACGTCATACTAGTATGCTCGTAAAAGTATACACAGTAATGGACGCCGCCATCTTTGAACAAACTCCAAGCTCGTTGTAAATTCTCCGAGCACGCCGAGCGCGCTAGGAATGCTAGCAATGACGTCACGGGTGCGAAAAGTAAACGTCGTGCTCACTGGTAGCTAACAAAAAGTATACTGGCTGAGCGCGCTAGGGGCGAGATCGGAGTTAAAAGTAAACGCATCCTATGCTCGTATGTCTAAGACTAGCATCTAAATACCATTACAAGTAAAACTAATTATTAATTTTCTATCAATGTCTACACCATAATCAAACGTCACTTTATAAGATGAAGCCGTTGAAGAGACGACGCACGGTGAAGAGACATCATGCCACAATCCGTATGGTAGATATCAATAATTAGCATTCGAACTTAAAATGACCACAGCCCACGGGTTCGGTTACGGACGGACAGAGAAGTGGCCGTTCATTGACGTTACGACCTGAAATAAACGTGTCGTTAGTAAATGGCGTCGGTGATTACACTGAAATTTCAGGCATATGTCCGTATTTCCACTTAATAAGATACATGTCAAAAATTTTCACCAACTTTTCCATAGAATTGTAGAAACTGTAGCGATTTCTTTATGTCCAGTCACTTTCCGTCCACCTTATATAACTTAAGGGTACCCGAAATTGCATCCAGGAAAGCATCTCCCCAGGAATTTTTCATGGGCGGTCTAATTGAGTAACTTTTTATATTTTTAATTATTAATATTTTAGATAAATTAAATTATCAAAATAAATAAATGGAAAATATTACTATGAACACATACAGAATTTCGTATATTGAACACACGGGGGCGTTTCTATTTCGGATTAATTTTTCTTTATCCAAAATAAAATATATATATAATGACATAACAAATTACGAACACTTTAATAAACAGAAGAATTATTTTAATTAATTTAAATTATTTTTAATAAAAAGTATCTACATTTTCAGCTTATTAATGACATATTAGTAGAATGTTAGTGAACCACGTGACACACTTTCCCGCCAGAATTGAGTGTTTTGTGTTGTGTTTAGCATGGTGTATTGAAGATCTTTAATTTTCTTGTTTTACTAGTTATTGTTTATATAAACCTACTTTAAAGGTAAACTTTTGATTTAATTTCGATATTTAATGTAACTTTGATTACCAAACAAAGAATTATTTTAAAATTTTAGATTTAAAATGTCGACTCCTTCGAAAACACCGCCACCAACTGATACAAATGATGAAAATTCGGCTACTCGTAAGTTATATTTTAAATATTATGGATTAAATATTAAATTAAATTGTAATTTAGTCGTGTAGTATCTATTACAAACAGTGAAACTTTAACCAATTTTAATAAATACATGATTAACACATGCTTCTTTAAAGTCTAAGAGATATGAATAACAGAGTCATAATATACACCTTAATTCACATATAATTATACATATTTAAATAAATACTAGGCCACTGCTTAATTGGTGGATTATTAAATTGTCTTATTTTGAAGTAATTTGAATTATTGAGAAGTAAAAAAATTTAATATCCTTTCAAAATTGTCACTTTTTTTGTAATCTGTATTGTTACTATTTCATTTATTATTATTTTTAATGATACATGTTCAAAAATTGGTGTTGTTTCCTTGCATTCAGGTATACAGGCACTCACTATTTCTGTTGTGTGAGCTGATTGGAAGATAATTATGTTATGTATAACTTGCTCTTAGGGGCTGTCTATAAATTACATCTGCATTTTTCTTAAAATTTTTATTCCTCTTCTCCCTCTCGTTCTGGTTTGTCGAAGTTTCTGTAACCCCTCCCCTCTTCGGATGTCAAACAAAATTCTGTCCTCTTAAATCCTTTATCACTTTATGAATGATAGCTACCATAAGATGAAACAAAACATACAAGGAATTCTGAAGTATAATAAAATTAATAAACTATATAAAATGTAATGAAATAAATGAACGTCCATCGAAACTTAATTCCTCCACTTATCCGACTTTTGTACGACTTGGCTTAACTCCTTTCTTTTGCTGTGGACATCATTTATGGACATCCCTGTACATTAAATTATATTTATTTTTATAATGCAAATTAATGACTTACATTATTATAGTACATTAGAATTGCATTATAGTACATTGTTATATATAGCTCTTTTTACTAAAACTACATTCGTAATACTTTATTTTTAATAATTTTTTTATTATTTTACCAATGAAAATATTTACATGATGATTTTAAAAGGACCTAATAATTGATAGGCCACCTAAATATTACTTAAAAACGCTATTTATTTTATGAACGTAAGCTACGGCATTACCATATTTTGTTAGTATAATTCAGGACTTGAAAAAATTTAACATGGAAAACAGAGAGTAAAAAATGAGAAAAAACATGATGTATTTTATGCTAAATTGAAAAATCATATTTTTGTTATACTTCTTTTGTTTTGTATAACTGCTTTATAGCTATGCTGTTGCAGCTTCTGCTGTAGTACCATTTAGCAGAGATGAAGTTTGAGTATTGCTGTTGCTCATGGGCACAATTCCTTTAGATAAAGTAAAAATAATATTAGGTACAGTAGTTGCCACTTATTGTGATTACTGGTTAATGTTATCAGCTGCTTAATATAATTAAAACACATTTTCCCAAACCACTTCTATATTTCTTGCATAAAATTTGGCCACTTATTGTTATCAGATTAAACTAGAGCATTTATGATATTTATAAATGACAATTTAAAATTAGTTTAAGGCAACTTCACGAAAGCATTACTTAATACTTTTCTGGAAGTATTATTTAATAATTATCTTTACTATTTTTTAAATATGGTACCTGATTGTAGATTTATTAAAAAGTGTTCTATAGCAGTTGACATGTCACCAATGAAAACTGCCTTTCTGTGACTGTCACTCTTGAATAAGATATGTTTAGAACATCAAAAACTTTAAATAAACAAATAAATGTTGGAGTTACCATTGTAATACTGTATGCATTTTTATTCATTAAATAACATCATAAACTAATTTCCTTTAGTTTAATTAGTATTTATACAAATATAAACATCCATATGCCTAATAGTTATATTAAAGCCAAATGATTGCCAGATTAGTATTAATTTATATTTATTTGTGCCCTTATTTTATACTATTTGTTATGTAAATGTCTACTAGGACAGATTGAATTAATAAGACTTATTGTACTGGTTTTCCAGTTATGCAAATGAGGAATACTTATTCAGAGGAAAAACAAATGATCTTTATTGTTTACAGGTGAAATACCAGATGAACAATAAAGATTGTTTGTTTTTCCTCTGAATAAGTGTTTCTCATTTGCAGAACCAGAAAACCAGTACAATAAGTCCTATTAATTTGATCTCTCCTAGTAGACATTTACATAACAGATTGCCAGATTAGATTGGCCAATATTATTGGATTTCAAACTATTCGAGTTTGAATTACCAAGGATTTCCTGCAGGTAACAATCTATAAATGTAGCAATTTTTGATTCCAGTTAATTTTTATCAAGTAATGTATAGTAGAACACACTAAAGTGCAGTAGGGTTTATTAGAATAATTATTAATATGCTGCTCAAGAAAAACATGAACATGAGTTTACATTGCTATATTTTTCAGTTAACGCATTTCTTAGAAACAGTACTGCTGTTAACTCTTACTACATAATTCTGCACTAAAAACAGTCACAACAGACATTTTCTTTTTGTTTTTGAGATACAATTTTCATCAATTTTACAACTAAAAAGATATTATGAGTAGTTTCATTTCTTTTCAAATGTTTCTCACTGAGATTTTTAAACTGCAGCATATGATATTAATACTAGACAAAGAATTTAACCAATCATTAGATTGTTTCTTTTATTGTAAGAATGATTAAAACAATAACTTTTCAAAAATCTTTTTCTACAAGTAAAAGTGAATTTTTTTTTGAATTTTAAATTAGATTTAATTATTTTTATTGAATAATAANCAAAAATTCCCAAAAAGACTCGTAAGTTTATAATTTTGTTGTTTAGATTATTTCATTATGCTATAGATATGTAAATATATTATTAAATTTAGTAGTCTTTTGTAGTATGGTTTAAAGCTAGTTTACACATTATTTTGTAATTTCACTAGCGTGTTGTGGCATTATGAATTGTGACCTTTAGCAAATAAAAAAGTTCACAAGCACTTTCGAATACCATAAAGCTATTGTCATCAGGAGAAAAATTGAATACAACTGTTTCCAAGTTTGGAACATTCGAAAAGCTGATGGATTTAAACGAAGCATGTGGATAGAATATCAATTTGAATTTGAAATAGAATAAAATTCAAAAACTCCTGAGCAGCCGTACAAGTTTTGTAAATATCCCAAAAATGTGTAGTGAACAATAATAACGTACTAGAGACGTTGACTAGCTTGCTTAAATAATGTTGTCTATATTTGTGGAATTGTAACACCACAACACGTTAGTGAAATTACGTTATAAAGTTAAATGTTGGCATGAAGTGTACTTTTCTTTTATTATAGATATTAATGGAAAACACTTCTTTGTATTATTGAATACAAGGGTTTCATGGTTGAAGCTAAAAGCACAACTATGGTTGTTATTGAAATGCCGTAAGAAGGGTTACACATTATTGCCAACATTTTGTCTCTTGAAATTACAATTTATGTGGATTTGCCTTATTTGAACAAACTTGTAATTTATTGACAACCTTGGCTTGACAAGTTGCAACTATGTTGCAAAAAATTTGATTTGTCAAAATTTTTGTTCATTGTAAGATTGTTGAACTAATCAATGACAAGATCAGAATCACATATTAGGCCAATAGAAACTAAGCGACTTGATTGCTGATGCTATCTATATATATAACCCATTCAACGGGTATCTGTCTGTCTGTCTGTGTAACGGATGCCAAAAACGGTCACTAGAGGCACCCTAGCGAAGATTTTAAATTAACAATAAATTATATTTATTTGTAATAGGAATTTATTATTGATATGAATTTATTATTTATATTACGGAATGGTATGAATAATTATTATGTGCCTTGCCTTGCCTTATTATATGCCTTGGTTAACCTTGTGCCACACGTTTACAACATCCCGTGACTCACAAGTCAATGAACGTTGCGCATTGACTCATGGGAAATTTGTTGAAAAAATGGCGGATACATTTAAAATCGAGGTTTACAAGCAAAGGTAAATAAACAAATTAAACTATTTTAAAGTTTTTATAGAATGTTTAATAGATAGAAATATAGATCCGTATGACGCGATTGGGACGGTAAGATTTACCCTCCGAATGAAGGGGTTGGCGACCCCCTCTGTGTGAACAATAAATGTCTAATGAACAATACCCCTACGCGCGACCCTTCCCGAGATATAGCCCTCCGAAAATTATTCTGTGGGTCATGTGACTGCCTGTTTGCCACAATTTACCCTGCAAATGAGCGGGTCGGCGACCCCCCTGAGTCTGGCAAGCGCACGTGAATTTTTTTTTTTTGCACGGTAGGCTCCCTTTTGACCATGATGTCACATGACTGGAAATGACGTAGGTGAATTTTCATGGGCTTATATCTTGCGAAGGGTCATGAGTAGGGGTATGGTTCCTTTGACTTTATTGTTCGCACAGGGGGGCTACAGTTTGGAGGGTTGCCACCCCTTCATTTGGAGGGTAAATCTTACCATTGGGACTTTAACAGAGCTGTACAGCATATTCATAGGAACAAAAAAGTCAAAGGAACCATGCCTCATGGAAATTTGTAAATAACGCTCACTAGGGGGCGTCCCAGGCTACTAGTAAGTCAGAGACTGATCACATATCTTCAGTACATTACTAATTGTGGAAAGCTTGATTTCTAGATACAAAGCTAAAATTAGCAATATTTGCTGGATATAATCAGTTACTTTTATAACCACTTAAAAGGGAATTTTTTGGATGAATAAACCAAAATGTTATATTCTTTTAATCCGACTCTCACCCAAGGTCAAGAATTACTCAGAAGACGATTAGTTCTCAGATATTTTATTTAAATGCATTTTGGATTGGAATTATCACTGATTCCACTTCAGTAAAGGCACAATCTGCGACAGATGTTACACCAATATTTCTGACTCTTTGAAATTAATTACAGTACCCTTGGGATCACCAAGAATTCCAATCTGAAATGCATTTAAATAAAATATCTGAGAATTAATCATTTTCTTAGTAATTTTTGAACTTGTGTGATAATCAGATTCAAAGGACATAACATTTCAGTTTATTCGTCCAAAAAAAACCCTTTTTAAGTGGTTTTTTGTAACTATAAAAGTAATTGATTTCTAGAGTTATATGCAAACTAATTTCTATGATGTTTTATAGTTAAACAGTTGGAATCCATGAACCTTACTTTTGCCAAGTAATGTGGTTTTTCTTCAAATTGTTTGTAAACATGGCAGAAGCATTAGAATCTAGTGATGATGAGCTTGTATTAACTGTTTGTGCAGTGAAAGACAAATCTAAACATAGAAGATGAAATGGGTCAGAAATAGATTCAGTGAGAAAGTATGAATATTTTAGAGAGAGCTGTGCCTTAAAGATGTCTATCAGAAAACTTTCATCTAAATGTCATTTTTCCACTTGTAAATAGCTTCAATCATGTTTTCATTTTTGTCACATGTTTCTCAATGAGATTATTCCAAAATTTGGTGCACTAAATTCAATTCCACATGTTTGTCAGACCTTGATGACTTCAGAAATTAACTGGTCATGTATCACTTCAGTTGTTAGCCACATTTTTCACATATTGCTGATGGTTTCTAACAGTAACATGCAGACATACTGCAGACAAACTATATCCTTGTGGACATCACCATTGACCAGGTCTCACTGATACAGGTGATAATTGTTTGGCTATCAGCCTTAGACTTCATTCTCATCACTTTCAAGATAAACAAATGCTCTTGCTGCTCAGAATACCTCATAAGTTGTATTTCTGTGCATTATGTAAACATGTGAATCATTAACAAATCTCATCAGTGTTTTTTTGGGCGTTTAAAATTTAACTCTGGTAAAACTTTTTTTTTTGAGAACACAATATATATATATATTATTGAATATATTATATTTGGTTTACTGGAAAGTTCTGTCTGTTCCAGCTACAACAAGTTTCAACAAGTATGTGCATATTCATTTGACACATTTGGCTCTGTCTTTTTATCACTGAATGTATACATATTGACCTAGCAAATGAAATAAAACTAAGGTGATTCATGTTAGTATTAAGTGAGATGTGATCATGTACACATGGCTACTGATATAGTTCATTTACGCCACTGTATTCTGTACGAATTCCATCAAGGAAGAAATGCTACAGAAGTGTGTAGAAATTTATTGAAAGTATTTGGCGAAGGTACAGTTCCTGATAGAAGATGCAGAAGATGGTTCGAAAAATTTCAAATTGGTGATTTCGACCTTTCTGATAAGCCACGCTCTGAGCGACCATCTTTGATCTACAACGATATTGTCAAGATCATGTTAGAGAAAAAATCCTTTATTGACAACATGGAGATTGCGGAAAGGCTTGATTCAGCTCAACAAACCATTTCGGATCATATTTGGAAACTAGGATTGGTATGGAAATATTCGAGATGGGTGCCACATGAGTTAAGTGAGAAGAATTTGAATGATCGAGTCATCATATGCACATCTCTGCTTGCACGGAAAAAAATCGAACCCTTCTTGGACCAGATGATAACTGGGGATGAAAAGTGGATTACCTATGAAAACATCATAAGGCAAAGAGCATATTGTGAATCTGGAAAACCTGCCTCTCCACCTCTAAACTGAAGTTGAGCCTGAATAAGAGAATGTTGTGTATATTGTGGGACATTCGAGGACCAATACATTTTGAGCTGTTAAAACCAAACAAAAAGCTAAATTCGGACAGGTACTGTCAGCAATTGGATAATTTAAAAACAGTACTCCAAGAAAAGAGGCCGGCGATGTTCAATAGGAAGGACATCATACTGCTTCATGATAATGCCAGGCCACATACTACTTTGGAGACTCATCAGAAGCTCGCAGAGCTAGGCTGGGAAATTCTGTCACATCCACCATACTCCCCGGACCTAGCACCCTCCGATTATAACTTGTTTCTGTCCTTACAAAATTTTTTGCAGGGCAAAAAATTCAAAAACGAAGAAGATATCAGACAAGCACTGGTTCAGTTTTTTGCCTCTAGGGATAAGGCATTTTTTAAAAATGGGATATACAAATTGTCATCATGCTGGCAAGAAGTCATAAATAATGATGGAAATTATATTATTCAAATAAGTTTATTCAAGGTATAAAAATTTATTATTTCATTTTATTTTAAAAATGGACAGAACGTTCTGGTAGACCCAATATATATTCAATAAATAATTAAATGCTGTTAAAAATTGTGTGATGAAGTATTGATAATGTTACTGCTTTATGTATATATCATTGGATAACTTTGTCACTACTACATTTCACATTATGTAAGAAGTTTTGGTTTTTTTGTAAGGAACAAAGCACTAATTCTAAATGCTGTTAAGATTCTACTTTAAATTTTTTTATTTTTAATTTTCATTGATTTTCCACAAGTCATTTAGCACTGCAGAGGTGAATTTTTAAAATCACAAAAGATTGTTTCTGGAAATGTCTAAATTTCAGTTATCATCAGCATTGAACAATTTTCATATGGAATAATGCACTTTAATTAAATTCAACCGAATCAAAGTTTATAAATAGACAGGATTTAAGAATTCAAATTTAATTCTATAATAATTCAAAAAATTCTATAGAATTATTAATTCTTATGGATTTTATAATTCTATAGAATTCTGGTAAACTTAAATAATCAGTATTTTTATTTATTATTTGTATTGATGCTTAATTTAAATGTAAAAAAATGGATTTCTAATAAAATGTATTTATTTAAATAATAACAATAATAATTATTATTTTCTAGCATCAAAAATACCTTCAAAGACACCTGTGAAGATTTGTGAGTATTTACTTTTCAGTTCTAGAATAAATTGTAAATATTAAATTTCTGTTTATGTTCATAATTTCTTAATGAAATATTTTATCTAAAAAAATATAAAGATATATTTAATCTGTGCGCAATAAATAACCAAGAAACAAACAAAAAAATAAAAAAGTAATTTAATTTCAGCTGGGATCTAAATCTCTCTTTTTCAGTGGTATGCTGAAGGTTTTAACCATTTATGATCCCATTTTTAATCTATATTTAAGTAAAATGTTACAAGACTAAGTTGAATTAATATAATAATAATTTTTGAAGTGTTTATATGACATTAATAATTATATCATTTGTTCTAAAGTACAACTGAGTCTTGATATACAGGGTGCCTGAAAAGTTACTGTGCAGTGAGAAATTCATATAAACATACAGGTTTCATAGAATCTGGCCTGCTAGATCTCCAAACCTGAATTGCCCCTGATTTTTATCTTGGATGTAATGAAGATACAGACATATGTACTGTATAATAACACTCCACACTCTCTGGAGGAGTTGAAGATGGCAATTACCAACACATTAAACTGATCATTCTCGCCACTTTCCAGAATGTATTTGACAATACGCAGAGTTGTGTGCAGACATGTCTGCAGGCCTCTGGGGGACATTTCCAGCATTTGCTATAGGAAAAACTGTGTTATTGTACATAAACTTTACTTAAACTTTTTTCATTGCACGATAAATATTTTGACACTGAATACTATCTTTATAAAGTATCACTGTATACTTGTTAAAGGATCTTTCCCATAAATAATAAATAGAGAATCATAGTGTATGTGCATTGCTAAATGCAAAATTATGCATTGCAAATGACATTGTTATTACCAAATTGCATTATTGTTGAGATATAGGTAAGCCCCATTTAACACAGCACTTCTATAGCATGGATTCACGCTAACATGGTTCGGGAATTGGATAAAACCCTTGTACAACATGAAATGTAATGAATGGTGCATTCTTTTATACCTCCGCATAACTCTGCGCAAGCATTCTAATTGTTTTCGTGGCTACTTTGAATGCTCTTTCAACAAATAATCCATTTAATGGTTAAATTTTACAATTGGGACCCTTCTTTTGCCTCTAAAAGCTCATTTTAGAATTATAGATTCCTCCGTCATGATACTATTGATAGTGCGGGTGCCGTCATTTTTCTTTCACTGTCGTTCCTAAATGCCTAAAAACAGCAGCGCACTCCCGTTGCAGAGCAACCGCTATTAACGAACGCACCCAAAAACTGTTACCAGTTGATGATGCTCATGCTGAGAGCATCATATAAGATGAATAATCCTCTGGTAAAATATTTACTTAAATAATAAATAAGTATTTTACCTATGAAAAAATGAATAATAAATCCGATCTAAATAAGGATTTAACAGCACGTTTTTTAATTTTTGGAACCTAATCCCCCTTTTCGCACTAGTTCTTTGTTTCATATAACTTCATATAACACAGCAATTTTTTGGAATATAACTCCTGTGTTATACAGGGGTTACCAGTACTTTAATTTAGCACCACATTTGACTTAGGTGTGAGCAAGTGGTGGTGCTAAATCAAAGTTTGGCTGTGTGTTAACAGATTATTATTAACTATTCAATATAGATGGTGCCATATTTAACTGCACTTAGATATGTCTGATTTCTAATAAATTTACTAATTAAAAATATTTAGTTATATCTTTATAGTTATGATCTTTGATAGCTAAGATCTTTTTCTCTATTATCTGAAAATTTTCAGAACATTATTTTTCTTTTTAGCTTCTAATACGCCAACAAAGACTCCATTAAAAACTCGTAAGATTTCATTTCCATTTTGAAACTTATGTTATAATTATATTCTAATTTTATTAAAGAAATTTTATTAAAGAATTATTTAATTTACAGCTTCAAAAACTCCCTTGAAGACTCCATTGAAAACTCGTAAGATTTTATTTCTGTTTAAAAGTTAAATTATTATATAATCTTATTAAAAAAAATTAATTTTAATGTTTAGTTTCAAAAACACCCTCGAAGACTCCTTTGAAAACTCGTAAGATTTCATTCCTGTTTTTAAAATATATTTATTTTATAATTAAAATAAGCTAAAATTACATTAATAATTATTGATATGACATTTATAAAGTCCCTATTTATTTCAAAAGAATGACGGTAACGTTTAAATTCAATTATAAAACAATAGAAGGTATACATTTATTGAATATATAAGAAAAAGGTTTACAAATATGATGTCAAAAATTTATAGGTAGTTGAATTGTTAACTTTAGATTACTTGAAGCTTCAAAAACTCTTGAAGACTGCATTGAAAACATAGATATGGTAAAAATTGACATGTGATTATTTTATGATAATATTTTGTATTGCTCTTACTCTATGTGTTAAGGTAATATTGAAGATAATAGGCATATTGACCAAATATTTCAGAAAGGCATAAGAACCAAAATGTTCACCTTTGTGACATTTTGTCTATTGATGTAAACTACATCTGATTAATGTTGTTTCTATACAAAATTTTGGAATAAAATTACATTTACATGATTTCATAATCATTTTTCTTTCTCCCATAAAATTTACAGTTGGATTTATGTGTCCTTCTGACCTATCACCCTTGATATGTTCAGAAACAGTGATAGTCTGACCAATCAGGAGTTTTGGAGATATTCTGGTATCCAGTCAGTCAAAATGAATCTTGTGTCAGTTTGGAGATTGTTGTTCTAAATTTTAGTAAATTTAAATTCTCCCATCTTTCCTGAGATTTTGATATCTGCAGAGTCAAGCACATGCCCCATGATGCATATTGAGCAGTTTATTATTGACATGACAATGCCTGTAACTGCATCTTTTGCATTTATATTTAGTTTTGTATAAGGATTGGTGTTCTGTTGGTTTACAGTCTCCCAGCAAAACATATCTGTCCAAATGTACAAGGGGAGTTTGACATTAAAGGTACTGGCCAAAATTACATTAACATTTATAAATAAAGAAAATATTTAATACATTCCACAAAAACTGCATACTTTGTTTATTTCTTGACATAATCGCTGTAAACATTGAGACATTTATCCCAGCATGACACCAGTTTGAACATCCCTTCATGATACTGTTGCTTGTCTAGTTGCTTGAAGTAGTCCAGAACAGTGTCTTTCTATTTCTCCTGATCTGCGAAGTGTTTCCCTACTAAAACTTTCTTTAAAGGTCTGAATAAATGAAAGTCCAATGGGAGGGCTAAATTTGGGCTATATGGAGGATGTTGCAGTACTTTCCAATTCCACTGTGCCAACCACAGTTTGGTTTGTTCTAACGTGTGGAGTATAGTCCAGATTTAGCCCCCTCAGATTTTCATTTATTTGGACCTTTAAAGAAATTTTTGGCAGGGAAATGCTTTGCAGATCAGGAGGAATTGGAAGACACTGTTCTGGATTACTTCAACCAACTTGACAAGCAACAGTACTATGAAGGGATGTTCAAAATAGTGTCACACTGGGATAAATGTCTCAACATTTACAGCAATTATGTCAAGAAATAAACAAATGTAGTTTTTGTAGAATGTATTAAATATTTTATTTATAAATGTTAGTGTAAGTTTTGGCCTGTAACTTTAATATCAGACTCCCCTCAAATATATTATTTTGTGACAATTTCTCTCCTTATCCTCGTCTTTATGTTTTGTGTTTTCTGCCTTATTAGTGGCATAGCTTCAACTCTCAGCATAGGAGAAACTATAGAACATAAATCTATTAAAAATAAAGACATTGCATCCTGTTTTGTTTATGTTGTCATTTTAAAAAGTTCATTAGCACATAGTAATCTAGGTCAGCAGCCACTGCTTAATTACTAGGCATTTTCTGTTGTAACTATCCAATCATTGTCTTCCTCTTTGTACACTACATTGTGATAAATATGAAGTTCATAATAGAAGCTGATTTTATATTTTTTAGATAACGAAAACATTAGTTCATTTCCAGCAAGGAAATTACTCCAAATTCATCTCACTTGTGAGGAGTATCAAAATTTTTTAAGCAAAAAGGGGATAAGCTGTTGGTCTTTGTTTTGATAAGCCACCCTTATGCACTGGTGTCAAATATTTCCTAGTGACAATTTAAATGCAGTTCATCACTGTTCAGAAATTTAATAAGTTTAAAAGAGCAATTTATTTAATAATATGTCTATAGTATCCGGCTTCTAAACTTTCTTTCAAACTTTTGTGTAATTTCATTTTATATCTTTTCCTGGATATATTATTTTATTATTCTTTCACTGAAATAAATAGGGAATCATAAAGGCCTTACAACATTTACAAGTGTAGATGAAGTCTATATTTTGTGTTTAATTAAAATAGTTTAATTATATATGTATTGAAATATGTTATTCTATGGTTTTCTCATTAGAATTTTTAATTTAATTTAATTTAAAAGAATATTTTAAAATAATTTAAAGTACAGTAGACCCCCTATAAAACTGGTTCATATAATACAGATTCATATATAACGGCGAAAAAATTGTGACCGTATTCATATAAACACACTAAAAGAGAATCGTATGATACAGTAAAATGTCATTGCCACCTCGTGTCACGACAGGATTGGTCGAATCTAGACCAATTGCAGATATTGCACAAACTGTTGAGTTTAAATGAGCAGCAGACCCGATAAAAACCATTTATTATTTAACGCCCATAAAAATTATATTTATATTAATGATGTCTCCAAAGTTCAGGAAATTTTTTGCAGAAAAATAACTTATCAGGAAACACGTGCCTGCTGTTTGATGCACCGCTCCACGACAAAAATAAGCTTAAGCAATGGCGTTGAACAGTACATACTCAGTAAGTAATCCTACAATTTTTTGTTTATAGCATAGTTTATATGGATTATTCCCAAGAAATTATACGTGTTTTGGAAATGTTGAGTGAAATCAGTCTAGAATCGATTAATTTTATGGAAGAAAACCTTTCAAACAGCCATAGTCTAAACTGCATACTTGCCGGGCTGTGATTGGTTTATGTATTTAAGGACTTATACAACATGAATTTCATAAAACATGGAACATATCTACTGTGTTATGGGGGTCTACTGTACTACCTTTTGCACTGAAGTATTTGTTAAAATTATATTAGGATAAATGAGAAAGTACAGTACAATAACACATTTTTGGTTTTCAAAGTTAGCATCACTCCACATTCTCTTGGATAATCAGGTTCTACCATAATTATAATTTTTCTATTGTCAAGAAAGTTTAAATTGCTCTACAATTTTTCAAAAAATTTGTCCAAGTTAATAGGAATTTTTTTATATTCTTGCTGAAGAATCATCATCTGTACAGTTGTATGCATCTTTTATAGAAAGCATTTGAACTTACATAGTAATAAATTAAAATCCAAAATGAGTTGTCTTGATGTTTTTTGAAGCATCTTACTCTATTATCAGATAAAATGATGTCTAAATCATATACCTTCAATCATTTTTAATGCATTGAAAATGCATCTGCAAAGAACATTTAGAAGAACATCTTATTTTGAACAAAGAATTAATTTAAAAAGTAATTTTGAGGTCTGTTCAAATAAATTATTCTTTTAAACATTTGATTTCTGCAATTAAGTTTATTTGATTTATATTATTTTTAAAAAAATATATTGTGAATAAGAAGTAGGACGAGTTTAATATATGTATGCTTTAATATTAAATAATTTTAATAAATTACTATTTTAAATTTTTAGCATCCAGAACACCTCATGGAACACGTAAGTGTTAATTGATTAAATATTTTAGAATTTTATTTTGAAATAGAATTTATACATCAAAATTAAATTATTCCTTTTATAATTTGAAATATGTTTATTATTCAAAATATAAAGTACAGTGTATAATATAATACAGTGCACTCTTGCTAATCTGAATAAATTATTGTATGTAGTTCAAATTAGTGAAAAATTTTGATTAGCAGAGTTGTAAATAAAGGAAAGTAAGTCAAAAAAGACTGCAGACAAATGTACAGGTATGCAGAATATGTCCAATTGTGCAGATAAGATTTTGAGAGATTAAAACAGTCCTGGGGAAATGTGATAGAAAAATGTTACAGCAATAGCTGCAGTAAAATGTATAGTGTTTCAGCTAAGCCTTTAGACATTAATTGTGGAAATCTTGTGTTTTAAAAAGGGAAATTGCTATGTTAATATCTAAATGCCTGGTTAAAAAAGAAAATTTAAATGTGCACAGATGTTATGAGTAGACCATCTGTTTTGATTTCTATGAAAAACCAAACAGAGCTGCAAAATAAATGAAAACAGAAAATTGTTTTTATATATACTCTTTCTGTACTTCTTAATGGGTAAAATTTCATGTCAGCTTAAATTAAAACAAAATATTCACTCTTTTTCTGCACATAAAATTTGAAAATTAATGAACTGCATTTAAAAACTTTATCTGAATTGTCTTGATTAAATAACTGAATAGAAGTTTTATCATCACTTTATAAACATATTTTTCTGTAGATATATTTCAACATTAATATTTTAAAAAAGAAAAACAAATGAAAAAGTCAGTCAAAAACTAAAATTTCTGCATTTCTTAACCTATTCAATGTTGAAATTTCTATTTGTTGCCTGTAACGCCATGTTGAATTTTCATTGATGTTAAGCCTAAAAAAAATTTTTTTTTTAAATAATAATTGTCTTTACTGTATCATTAAAAATTATTTTTTTATGTTGCACAAACAAAATAAATATATTGAATAATATAGAAATAAAAAAAATTATATTTTAAAAGTTCGTTTTAATATAAAAATTGTGACACATAGCGACATCTAGTATCAAAAATGTTCTGATGTAAACATGAAAATAATCGGGATCGCCCACACAGGTCAATGAGATCAACATGAATATTTTCGGGAACAACGTAGGACAGGTTAAATAAATTTTTGGGGAGAAAAATTGCATGATCATCATTGTAAAGAAATTTTGCATCTTTTGTTGTTAAAAAGTCCATTAATTAGTACTTTGCATTAAAAATGGGCCATCTATTGCATAATGTAATGATGCATTTAACTTCAGTTTTATTTCCATTAATCAACATAGGTCGATTACATCAAGTTTATAACTGCATAGGTTTTCCTACAATAATATCTGCTTAAAGTAAAGCATTCTTTTAATTTAAAAATGTTTATCTAATTTACAAGTTTAGTGTTTGCAGCAAATTAAATAATACAGTAGACCCCCCTATAACGCTTAGATACGTTCCACACTAACCGAAAATTACGTTGTAGGAATGATTAAATACGTGAGCCAATCGCAGCCCGATAGGTGGGAATTTTACGGACTAAGGCTGTACGAAAGGTTTTCTACTATAAAATTAACCGATTCTAGACTAATTCCACTCAACATTTCCAAAATACGTATAATTTTTTGGGAATAATCTGTATAAACTATGCTATAAACAAAAAATTGTAGGATTACTTACACCGTTCGACTACGCCGTTGCTTAAAGCTGGTTTTCATCGCGGAACAGCACGCGAAACGACGGCCGCAATTTCTGATAACGAATTTTTGGCGGAAAAATAACTTGACCTTTGGAGACATCATTAATATAAATAATTTTTATGGACGTTGAATAAGAAGTGTTTCTTTCACAAGAAATGTATAAAATTAGTGCTGTATTAGACTTACGGTACCTAATTTACATACTGTGCAGACGATAATAAACTCAACTTACTAGCCTAAAATCTCCGTAGCGTGTTGCCAGGCGGCAGAAAGCATATATATAATTATAATAAAGTTACAATAAATTAAGTTAATATATAATTATATATACAGTACCTAATTTATATATAATTAATATATAATTATATGTACAGTACCTAATTTATATATAATTTATATATAATACTAAACAGACGATAGCAAACTCAATTTAGCCGCTCCGTAGCGTGGCGCAGGGTCGGAGGAAAGTAGTTCGGCTGCTCATCCACTATTGGTCCAGACTCTATCAATCTTCTCGCGAAACGACGTTATAGGAGGTACGTTATACGAAAGTTGCTACAATTTTTTCGCTACGTTATAGGAATTGTCGTTATAGGAACGTACGTTATAGGGGGGTCGACTGTAGGCCCATTTCATTTGGAATATTTCAAACTATCAATATATAGTAATTATTATTAATTTGTTCATAAAATGTTTTGTTTTGTGTGCTAATGTTAAGCAATTTTGAGGGAAATTTTGTATGTAGAATTCATGTTGTGGGGAAATTTTGGGTCTTGAAAATATTCTACACTGTTAAAAGTGAAGAGATTGTGTATAGTGATACACAGTTTGACCGTAAAATATGTGTAATTGAACAAACAAATACCAAGAACAGTCAACCAGCACTTCTTTGCTAGTTTGTAACATGGCAGAAAACGGTACAAAAAAGGGCATGGGATGATGTGATGCCCCCCTGGCAATTGAGAATAACAGTACAAAGTTCACATTCCTTAACACATCTCCTCATTTTGATGTCTTTTGAGATGTTGAAATGTAGTCCTATCTTTCAGACATTTATATTACTTAAAATATGTAAGGACTTTCTATACATATACACTATATCCAGTCAGTCACATAACATTGAACTTCTGATTTTGACAAACTTCTCTTTTCCCAAAGCTTTAGTAAAAATGTCAGCAATATTTTCATTTGTAGTGACATGTTCAATTGAAATTTCCTTGTTTCTATACAGGTCTTTGATGTAGTGGTATCTTATATCAATATGTTTACCCCTCTTTGAATTCTGAAACGTTTTCATCATAGAAGTTGCATTTATGTTGTCAACTTTGAGGATTGCAGTATTATACTTACAGTATCTGACAAAATACCTTTCAAGTTCATTAATTCTTGAGCTGTGGTGCTAGCTGATATATATTCAGCCTCCATGGATGAAAGAGCAACACAGTTCTGTTTTCTGGAGTACCATGCAATTGGATTTCCAGCATAAAAAGCACTCATTCCGCTCACACTTTTCCTGGTTTTCATATCTCCTCCCCAATCAGCATCACTCATGCCTACTACATTGTGTAAACCTTTTGTAAAATGAAGTGTAAGATGTCTTGTGCAACTTAAATATCGAAGAATTCTTTTACCTGTCTTTCACAACAGATTTGTTGGTCTTTCTAGATATTTACTAAGATATGACACATTATACTCAATATTCGGTCTGCTTGTAACAGAAATGTACATCAGACTGCACACCAATCTGCAAAATGGAATTTCTTCATTCAAATTGGATTCTGTTAAATGGAAATTCATTTCCATAGGTATAGTAACTTCTCAACACTGTTCCATATTAAATTCAGTTAAGATACGGGTAATTATTTTGGACTGACTGATTTTTAATTCCTTTTCATCTCAATCAAACTGCATTCCTAAGAACAATAAGACTTCTCCCAAATCTCCGACATTGAACTGTTTGTGTAGATCATTCATTAATTTGTCTATCTTTACATCTTCACTTGTGATGATCATATTGTCAACGAAAATAGTCAAGTAGGCATCATTACCTACATACAAACAGAAGTCGTACTTCGACCTACAAAATCCTAACTTTTCCATAACTTTATTAAACTTTTGATTCCAACATTTTGGTGCATTTCTCAAGCTGTACAATGCTCTATTCAATTTTAATCTCCTTTTTTGACATTTAAGCTCTTCTGGTGTATTGATGTATACATCTTTTTCTATGTGTCCATTTAGAAAGGGAGTTGGAACATCTATCTGATGTAACTTCCAGTTATGTTGTACTGTTACAGAAAGTAAAATTCTAATTGTAGACATACTACAGATTGGCACATAGCTAAATTTTCCTTCTTCTTCATAAGGTACTTGGAACCCTCTTGCCACTAATTTGGCCTTCCTTGTTCCATCTTCTTTGGTTTTAAATATCCATTTTGTGTCTATAGATATCTGGCCTTCTGGAAAATCTATAGGTGTGTACGTTTGAAGTATCTGATGAGAATCTAATTCTTTCTCTATAGCTTTCTTTCACTCTGGTAACTTCATGCTTCCTGGTATGTTTTAGGCTTTTCTGTTGATGATGATAAACAATATGCAGTATATAATTCAAAATCATTTAAATAGGAAGGTTTTTTAATGTTTCTTCTAACTTTAGAATTTTCCATTTGGTCTTCTCTTTCATCCTTTTGCTCACTGTTGTTATTGTTTCCTACTATTCTTCCATCATCTTCTTGTTCTTCTTCAATACTGGGTATAATTACAGTTGGAGAAACCACCCCCTCTTCTATTTACTTTGGTCTGGCTTTTTCGTTCTCAATAGACTCTTTACAACCTTCATCAAACTGTATGTCTTGTGATCTTACTATCCTTTCTTCTGTTGGGATCCACCATAACCTGTAGCCACCACCACAATATTCCACCATAACTGCATGTTTTGCTCTTGATTCTAGTTTATTTTGCTTTGGGAGGATGTTGTAGCATGCTTGACATCCAAATATTTTCAGCTTGCTTATATTTCTTCCATGCCACAGAAGTGATAGCATTTTCTTTCTTTGAAGAGCGCTTGTTGGAGATCTATTTAGTTTGTAGGCTGAGCTCTTTAATGCTTCTCTCCATAACTCCTTTGAGATTCCTGAGTCAATGAGTTTTGTGCGAATCATGGTTAACGAAGTCTTGTTCATGCATTCAGCCTTTCCTCCCATCTGTGTATATTCCAATAGTATGCCATTGTGTTTTGCAAATCTTTTAAAATTGTTCAAACTAAATTTGCCACCGTAAATCGCAGTCTTTTCACTGTACAATCATGCTGAGCTTTCATTTCTTGAATATAATCTGCTTCCTTCTTATTCTTTAACAATTTAACAGCAACAAAATGTGAGAAATCATCTAAGATTACCTGGAAATAATTTTTCACCACTAATTGTAGATGGCATGATTGGTCCACACACATCACTATGCACAAGTTCACCTATGGTGGTAGAACATCTTTCATTATGGTAAAAAGGGACTTAAGAAGTCTTTCCTTCTACACATGTTGAGCACATTCGATTCAAAACTTTGAATCCAAGCTGTCGCAGTGCATCTCTTCATATGTCAATGCCACAAATTGTCTTCAGCTGCAACATGACAATCTTCTTTAATTCTATTCTTCAGTTCCAAAGTATAGAACCCATTTGCTCTGTTACATTCCAACACAAAATTCTTTCCACAAATTGTTGTATATTTCTTCTCCACCACAATCTGATGACCTTTTGAGGTTATCTTTGAGAGTGACAGCAAATTATGCTTAATATCAGGAACCATGAATGCCTCAATGGCTATAGTGTGTCCCTGACACATTGCTTGCAGATCACCACTTTTAGTTGCCTTTAAAACTTCTTCATTAGCTATATAAATAGTCACTTCGTGATCCAATGACAAAACATTACACATAAGGGGTTTAGAATCCCTTATGTGTTATGTGTAATTCCTGTTTCACAAAATGATTACTTGCTCCTGAATCAGAACAAAACTGATACTATTCAAATTGTTTTTTTGGTTACAGATGTTTGCTGCATATAATGAAATTTGCTTTTCTTTACCAAAGGTTTGTTGACTACCCTTATTACAAATACCTTGAGTTCTAAATTCTTTTCTATTCCCAGACCTGGGCTAAGAGCACTTTGGACATCATGCCTGAAAATGTGATTTGCTCCCACATATGTAGCAGCCTCTGCTGTTTGCCTTGAAACTAACTTCATTGGTTTCCAGATATAAGTTAATTTCTTCATGGGATTTTAATTTTATTTCTTTGTCTAATAATCTTGCTTTGACAAAATCCATTTTGACTTCTGCCACTGTTTCAAAAGCTGTCATGACTGCATCATACTTGGAAGGCAGGGAGAGTAATAAATGACAAACACTATCACCTTCTCCAATTTGGGATCCAAGATCTTGAAGATCTTATAGTTGTATCAAAGTTTAAAAAATGGTCTTTCAGACGTTCATTCTTACCTGAGTGTAAGTTCAACAGTCATCTCCACAGTGTCAATTTAGTGAACGAGCTTGTTCTGACAAGTACGTCTTTCAGAGCTAGTAACTGAGCTTTTGCGTTTTACAATCCTTAATTATATCCAAATGTTTATTGTATTATTACTGACTGTGCCTTGGTATCTTTTGACATATATTTCTTTCTTTCAGCTTCCTTATTTGCTTCCTCATTTGGTGAATCACTGTAAATCATGTCCTTGCACTGTTCTCCTTTTAGAGTAGACATAATTCTAAATTTCCAGTTATTAAGTTATTTGCTTCTAATACTGGCACAATCATTGCAACTCCTGTCATTTTGATTACTCCACTAAATGAAGTTAACTATATAAAATTTAAGGAACTTACTAGAACCTCTGGACCCATAATCTGTTAAAAGTGAAGAGATTGTATATAATGATACACTGTTTGACTGTAAAGTATGTTTAATTGTACAAACAAATACAAAGAACAGTTGACCAGCACAAGCTTTCTGTGCTAGTTTGTTACATGGCGGAAAATGGTACAAAAATGGCACAGGATGATGTGAAGAATAACAGTACAGAATTCACATTTCTTAACATGCACACCTGTAAATATATATTTTAAAATCTTTGTACTATATTTGATACCTGTATTTATATTAAAATATGTACTACATACTTTTTTTAATTCTGCATATGAATAATCACTAAATTGTTTTAGGTTTCTTACGGGAAATTCCAGGTTATCAAACATTATTCAAACTATTCACTAATTTGTTCTTTTGATTTTGTTTTTCTTTGGCAAAGTTGAAATTAATTCTTATCCAAATATATAATAGCAAAAACTGAAATTCAGCAATAATTTTTATGATAAATGAATGTTTTCAGCCATTTTAAAATCAATAATATTTATATTTATAGTAGTACACATTTGTTTTTTATATCTGTTTCTGCATCAATTGTTTTTTCAATTGCTCATAAGTACAGTAATACCTCGGTTTTCATTCACTTCGGTTATCATCAGTTTTGGTTTCCATCGATTTTTTTGCGAAATATTTATCTAGGATTTTGTCAGCATGCCCAAGTGACCTTGTTGCTAATTTTGCAAAAACATGTCATGATAAATCACATTTTAAAATTAAAATTTAGCATTACATTTTTTCTATTTTTTTCAAAAATATTAATTATCCTTAAAAGAATTTCTTTTTTTAAGATTTAACATAATTATTATTTAAACTTTTTATTATAGCAAGAAGTGCAAGAATTACTCGTGAGTATTATTTATTAATTTTTTTCAATTGTCTTTAATATTTTTAAAGTGTCTGGTAAGATAGCTTGTAATTGTTTTTCAGCTGCAAAGAGTTTACGAGGAACTCCAAGAAGTTCAAGACAGACACGTTAGTTTTATAACTTATTTTGGCTGCTAATGTATTATAAATATTTCAAAGGTTTGATTTTATATAAATAGCTTCTAGAAGATTAAATAGAGATAGTGAAATTGCTATAGCAGAATCTTCTCCTAGCCCTTTAATGGCTTCTCTTCAAAGCAGTTTAGAAGTTCCTCCGACCAGTCCTCATACTGGTATGTAAAAATTATTATATTTTAAATAATAGTTGTTACAAAGATAGCAGTAAATGCTTAATTTAAGAAATTACTAACATATAGAGTTGAAATTTTCTTTAAATTAATTATAATTTAATAAATATTAAAGTTATTAAATACATTTTTTTAGTTTTTATTTTGTTAAATAGGTATAAAGGATAGAATTTATAAATTTTATTTAAGTATTATGAATTGTCTATTTTGTGAATATATTGTACTTTTTATAAATAATTTATTATCTTAGTTTATGTAACATCTAATTATTAAAAATATTATAATGCAAGATTACTTGATGTAGTTAGTAAGCAAGATAACTGTGTATAATATAACAATTACAGTTATTACCTGGAAAAAATTAGATATTTCATATGTTGTTTAACTCTGTGGGCACTAAGACGGTCTTTTTAACTTAATCGTACCTATCATGGGTTTTTAACCAGGTTGAAAATGGGAGTAGCCAGACAGTAAAACAAATCTAACATATCGGATTTGATACACTAGAAAAATTCCTGGAATGGCTTAACCACCTGTATTGTACCCTACTGACATTTCATATTTGAAGATTTCCTTGTTATTTATAGAAGATATGGGATCCATTTTATAAAAATACTTTTGTCTGGGAATGTGTTTATTATTTCAGTAATGTAATTATCATGTATGAATAATTATAAGGTACATCCAGATATTTTGCCAGATGGAATTTTAGTGAGTAGACCAGTTAATATTAAGTAATAAAGATTTTTACTGGAACTGTAGTTATATTTGTTCAATTCCTTTAATAATTTTTGTATATACGGTAGAACTCCAATTAGGGGTCTATTACCTATCACAAAATATGCAATTTGCAAAAATCATATTCATCTGTCAATTGCTTTTATCATCTGATTGGAATGGTGAATAGCCATGAGCAGTCCTGAAATTTAAAAAAGTTACTCGGTGAAAAAGAGTATCACAGAACATGAATAAGTCTTGGTCCAATACAATTTTGCTGTTAATAAACAAAAATAAAGTTGCTTAAGAAACTCAATCATAAAAACTCTGCACTTTATTTTATATCATCAGTTGTCTTTTCATTTGTGGCTGGTACAAAAAGTAACCTGGTGAATAAAAAATGTGTTTGGCAAATGGATTGGTAATTGCTGTAAAAAAGCCAGAATGACACTGCCAATTATCTAATCCCCAATTAACTAAGTATGTACCAAGATTAAGCAAAATTTCATGAAATATGTATGTAGATGCTCTCTTGCTTTATGTTGAGATTTGGTTTTACCAACCAGACCATATGGGTCAGATATATTCCTATAAATATTTACTGCTCACTATTATTACTCATTATTATTCACCATAAAATAATGTATATAATTAGTGGCTATTGGCTATTATGCTGTTATTCAGGTTGTATATAAGAAAATATAAATCAATGTTAGTAAACTTTAAATATACATAAGACAGAAATTTTATTTTAACATTTAACAAACTAAATGATGTGAGAGTTTGAAACAAACTTTGTTGGAGTTATTACTATTATATACATTACTTGTGTAAGTTTATAAGCCTTTATCTAGATTTATTTGGAAATATTTTAATGGCAGTTTCAGAATTAGTTAAATGTTTAATATATGTTTATACTCTTTTAGGTTTTAGTGAAATTGATTTGAGTTCTCCTTTAAATTATGGAACTCCTAGTTCAGCAGGAATGGGAACACCTAGATCTAAGTATGGTCACATTTAAACTAAACTAGCTTACTTCATTTATTTTTACCTCAAAAATATTGATTCTATGTTGAATTTTTAGTCGGGGAACTCCAATTCGTCATCGGAGTGATATCAGAAGTGAAAGAAGATTGCGACAGGTCGATTTAAATGCAATGGATCAGGTAATATATTATTTTGCCAAGTTAACAAAGTTTTTTTCAGTTTATTTCATATGTTTCTGTTTCTAGGACAATCACAGTGGTGATGTTACTGTGGCATTAAGTGATCATGAAGGACCTCAGCTTGTTATTTGGGGAACAGATGTTGTTGTCAGTCGCTGTAAAGAAAAGTTTAAAAACTTTATTCAAAACTACATAGATAGTGAGTTAGAAAGAGACGAAAGAGTCGCTAGCCATGATATAGACCAGCCAATATATTTGCAAAAATTGGATGAAGTAAAATATTAAATTTATTATTTAATTATGTCATATTTTGAATTTTATTATAAAACAGCTGAATGCATTACAGATTAACACACTAGAGGAACCATTTATGAATATTAATTGTTCTCATTTAAAAAATTTTGATGAAATTCTGTATCATCAATTAATCTGTTATCCCCAAGAAGTAATTCCAACATTTGATATGGCCGTAAATGAGCTATTTTTCCAACTCTATCCTGACACAGATCTTCCTCATCAAATTCAGGTTCGTCCGTTCAATGCCGAAAAGACAAGGAATTTGAGATTGTTAAATCCCGAAGGTTTGTAACATTTGTAAAATTTTTGTTGATACATTTATTTTGGTTATAATATTATTTTGTATTTTATTCATTCTAGATATTGACCAATTAATAACAATTAGTGGCATGGTAATTCGAACATCTAATATCATTCCTGAAATGAGAGAAGCTTTTTTCAAATGTAATATTTGTCATTTTACTGTCACTTCCGAGTTAGACAGAGGAAGAATAACTGAGCCGACCGTCTGCCAAAATTGCAATACAAATCATACGTTTAGCCTCATTCATAACAGATCGGCATTCTCGGATAAACAAGTTGTCAAGTTGCAAGAGTCTCCAGGTTTGTTTTAATTATAATTTATTATTAAATTTATATGATGCAAAGAAAAAAGTTTATGATAAAATATAATTTATCTAGATGATATGCCACCTGGTCAGACACCTCATACAGTTTTGCTATATGCTCATAATGATCTTGTGGATTCTATTCAACCTGGAGATAGGTAATATTTTGATGTGAATTTTTATAGTTTTACAATTTGGGTTAACACAGCTTCCAAAAAAAAATGCTATCATTTTAATTATTGTAATTATGTTAGTTATTATCTGCTAACATTGCAGTGTACATTAAAACATTGGAAAACCACATTTGCCCATTACAATTTCTCAACGTGTGATATGAAGTCTTCCTCCTCATGTGATATGTTAGAATTTCCTACACTCACTACAGCCTCTGCAGCTCCTGCATATTACTCACATTGCATAATAATGATTGATTCTGACTTTCTAGGATAGGTTTTTCTCCTTAACAAAGCACAAAATGCCTTCTCTGTTGTGGAGTTGCCACTTTTGTTAATGGCATTGTGAGGTAGCAGAAGTTCCTATATTTGAACTAGTCTTTAATATTAATATTGTTCGAGTTATGTAACAATTGTTGTTCATAGCTACCTGAGAAAGTCTCCCCGTTACATTTTCTCGAAGGCAACATGACTCTTTCTCTTGATCTTTTAATCTCTGACATCCGATATCATCTGTGAATATCGCCAGAGACAGCCGAAAAAAGTCAGTCGTCGTCTGTCCTTTCGACAAAGGAAACCAGCATCAATTACTCTCGGAATATTGTCGACAAGTGCCATTTGGATACCTTGTGTCATCATTGTGCTAGTGGATATTATATTGGAACTAATCACCATTGGAACTATTATCAAACGACTAGAGCTCCATCAGGAGATCACCTTTTATCACCAGGTATTTATGCAACTCGCACTTGTTATGTGAACTCTCTCTCTCTGCGACAAAACTTAGAACCTCTGTATCCTTTCCCATTTATTTTTGATTAAATCTTGGTTAATTGTTAATTGGAGGTCAAGTCTCTTCCACATGCTGTCTCTTGATCGGCTGACATTATGAATCTGTCTGTCCACTTATGGGACTTCTCATGTGATGGTGTGACATAGTAATTACCATCTTGGCTTCCGTGTTCTGATAAACACGGTGGTGTCAATCCTGACAGGGCACCAAGGAGGTGCTGACCCTAAAGTCACAGCACTTCCTAGAGATAGTAGACAACAAGAAATTTGAGTGCAGATGGGAGATGAAACTCTGACAGTTACTTTTTCAGTTGGTGTACCTTGCATACTTTTCACATGATAATTAACATAATTACAGTAATTTAAAATGGTAGCATTTATTTTCTAAGACCCTATATTATAATTATTTGTTCTTAGTTGTGTACCAACATCGTAGAATACTGTTAAACAATTCAAAACAATAAGTGAACGAGTTAATATTTAATACACAAAAGCTTCTTCGATTATTTAATGATAATTATAATTGTTATATCATAAGTTAATTAAATATCATTAAAATCACATAATTATTTTTATTTTTGATGAGATTATTCATCTAGTTTTTGACAAGACTATGTCTCGTTTCTAAAATTGCACTGCTGTCAATGGCTGCACACCTTAGAGGTATGAAGGAGTACATGCAATTTGGCACAGAGTATTTGGTACCCAAATCATGTGCACATAAAAATAAACTAGACTTATAGGTAATCAGGAGATTGAGAACTGATCAAAATAAAATATGAATGCTGAGACTGTTTTTACAAACAGGCATGAGTGTGAGATTTTCGCATGTGTTGCTTGCACTCTCTGAGACATAGTCTCATCCCAAGAACAGCTTCGTCGTTTTACTTGTTATTAAATAATGTTAATAGTTTATAACTGATTTATATTCATGTTAGTTTTTTATAATAATTTTAATTTTAGTGTTATAAATTTATCAGCATTTTTGTTTGTTTTTACTGTTATATTTTATAAATTTAATATAAAACGATTTATTAAATTGCATTTTAATATACTGATTATCTAAAATTTATTTTAGAGTGACTGTCACGGGTATATATCGTGCTTGTCCCGTTCGTGTTGATACTAGAAGAAGAAATGTAAGATCTGTATATCGAACCCACATTGATGTAGTGCATTTTCGTAAAATTGATCAGAAACGTCTTCATGAAGATATAGAAGAAGGGTAAATTTGTATTTTGATCATTTTTTTAACTGTTAATATAATATTAAATAATTACACAAATTATTTTGATTGTGTAGACAAAGTACACGTTTTACTGCAGAACAAATTGAAAAATTGAGAAATCTTTCAAAATTACCAGATATTTATGAAAGATTAGCTCATGCTCTTGGTAAGCAAAATTTTTTTAAATTCAATTTATATTAAAATAATTATGAAGTGAAATGTAAAAATCATAAAAAATTATATTATAGTTTTCTAATTGTAAACATGAAATGGCTGCAATTTATTTGAAAGGATTTGTATATTGCATTAAAATCTATTTATTGATTATGAAAATAGTGTAGTGACTCCTGTAGACTGAAATCCACAGAGTATCTGAAGAAAATAATGTGATAAGGAATCAATAATTGACCAAAGACATGTACACATAAATTTCAAGTGATAGCTCTAGAAAATCCACAATGACACGTTGCTTGCTAATATGACGAAAACGTATACAGTCGACCCCCTATAAGATCATAGATACGTTCCATTCTTTAGGAATCCGATTTCTTACGAGTCCTTCCAATCACAGCCCAACACGTGTCAAGTTTACGGACTACGGCTGTTTGAAAGATTTTCTTCCATAAAATTAATCGATTCTAGACTAATCCGACTCAACATTTCCAAAATATGTATATATTTTTTGGGAATAATTCGTATAAACTACGCTATAAACAAAAAATTGTAGGATTACTTACCGAGTGTCACCATTCGACATTGCCATTGCTCAACATTGTTTTCGTCGCGGAACAGCTCAGCAAAGAGCGGCCGATTTCTAACAACTTATTTTTCTGTGAAAACTTCGTAGAACTTCGGAGACATCATTAATATAAATAATTTTAATCGCCGTTGAATAAGAAATGTTTCTTTCACAAGAAATGTATAAAATTACAGTACTGTATTAGACTTACGGTACCTAATTTACATACTGACAGACGATAGTTAGCGTAAAAATCTCCGTAGCGTGGCGCCACGCTAGACGGCGGAAATTATATATTTAATTATAACAAAGTTACAATAAGTTAATATATAATTATATATACAGTACCTAATTTATATATAATTAATATATAATTATATGTACAGTACCTAATTTATATATAATACTGTACAGACGATAGTAATTTCTCTGTAGCGTGGCGCTTGACGGCGCGGAAAGTAGTTCGGCTGCCCGATGACGTTTCACGTAATTATAGGAATTTTTTTCCCTTTTTTTTACAGATACCGTCGCAATTTTTTTGCAGTTTTATAGGAATTGTAATTATAGGAACTGTAATTATAGGGGGGGTCTACTGTACATACTAAATATCAATATTTTAAAATTAAATGTCTCATTGAAGTCGTTGGGTGGTCTCAGACGCACGATTTCTGTTACTAGCTGATATCTATTTGGGTACGATGGAAACAGATTCTCCTATTCCTGTCGAAGATTTCCTTTTGTTGACAGCGATCATCACAAACGTCTCGCTTGATGGTTCCAACTAGTTTTTCACTTTTTGTCTTTCCAGAATAGTCCAAAGGGAACAAAAAAACAAGAGAGAGCTCACAATGTGAAAGTTTAATTTATACTTCCCACACTCTGGAAGTAGGCCTCTTGCACGTGACACTACCCCAGACCAATCAGCTCTAATTGTTGCACCCCCCCAGAAAAGGTGACGCCAGGGCAAAAAAGGAAAGGATCATGCAATACACCATACAAAAATAACACTATACATAATAATGGAACATTAAGTACAAAAAAAAACAAACAAAAAATATATATAACATATAGTCATGTAGCATTACAGTGGCTTGAAAAAATGTTTTTTTCACAATGAGGTTTAGAAATCTGTTTAATTCTCTTGATTTTTGTTGGCTATCAAAAGCATATTAATAAATTTGTTCAAAGCTGTATGACTTAATGTGAGAACTAAAAGTCAGAAAATGTGAGAAAAATTACTTCTCACAGAATATCAAAGTGCAAAATCACAGATTTTTCCACAGACTTTTGAGATTTTTGGCAGGAAATTTCAGAAGCAGACAACAGTTGCTATGGTAATTTGAAATCTGAGACAAAGTTGCATGTGTTTGATTCACAATTCTTTGTTTTTTCCTTTATTTTAATATATTTGATGCAACTTTTAACATAAATTTCAAACAAATGATAAACACTTGCGTGCTGTAACAGTAGCTGATCGGAGTAATCCATTGTTTTTTAATCCTTTTGCCTAATAAAACTGTTTGTGTAGCAAACAAGTTTTTCTAGTGGCAATAAAAGTATGCAATTAAATTTAACATATGCATTTTGAGATAAGATTTTAAATTGCATATATTTACATGTTGGTGCCATTATTATAACATTTATTGCATTTAATTCAAAATTGGACATGTTAATATGAGCAAATTTATTACAGTAGAACATCGATTATCCGACTCAATTGGGAACTGGGGTTGGTCAGATAACTGAAAAAACGGATAACTGAAAAATATGAAAAAATACATTATTAGTATAGTGTATTAGTATATCCCATGTAATTAGTATATTAGTATATCGCTATTAACCTACTTCGCGTTGAATTTTCATCAATGTTAAACCTAACAAATTTTTTAAAAATAATAATCGTCGCTATTGTATCGTTAAAAATTATTTTATTGCTCACAAACAAACAACCACTCATAATTAGAAAATTAAACCTTGTTTAAATACTGGCCTCCCTTTTATGGTCGAGCCAGTGTTGCCAGCTAAAACACACAAAAATTTAACAAAAATAATATTAAAGTAGCCAAGACAGCAAAATATTGTAGTGCCACATCACTAGTGGACATTTGAAATTTGCCGACTAGAATGATCGGTTAACTGATGTGATGGTTGATTGGGGTTCGGATAATCGATGCTCTACTGTACTTCAAATTGCATTATATAATATTTTTTTTATATTTCAATAAATTACCTTTTTTTTTGGTCAATTAAAAGAAAAATTTTTATATACAGTAGACCCCCATAACACGGGTTCATATAGTTCGGATTCCTATATCACAGCAAAAAAATTGCGACAGTATTCATACAAACACGCTAAAGAAACTCGTATAATTCGGTAAAATGTCATTGCTGACTCATGTCACAACAGGATTGGTCGAATCTAGACCAATAGTGGATATTGTACAAACCGTTGAGTTTAAACGAGCAGTGGCCCTACTAAAAACCATTTATTATTTCACGTCCATAAAAATTATATTTATATTAATGATGTCTCCAAAGTTCATTTTTCACAAAAAAAAAATAATTTATCAGAAAGCATGCGAGCGCCATTCAATGACAAGCTTCTCTATGAAAACAAGCTTAAGCAATGGCGTCGTCGAATGGTGCACACTCAGTAAGTAATCCTACAATTTTTTGTTTATAGCATAGTTTATATGGATTATTCCCAAAAAATTATACGTGTTTTGGGAATGTTGAGTGAAATTAGTCTAGAATCGATTAATTTTATGGAAGAAAGCCTTTCAAACAGCAGTAGTCCGTAAACTGCATATGTGCCGGGCTGTGATTGGCTCATGTATTCAAGGACTCTTAGAACATCAATTTCATAAAGAACGGAACATATCTACCGTGTATAGGGGGGTCAACTGTACATTTAACTGTAAATTATTAATAAGCTTATTTAGCATGCTTGAATTTGAATTTATCTGTGAAAAGTTCTTAATATGTTATATAAATATTAAATTTATAATTAAAAGTATTAAAATGTTATATTTATTAGCTCCAAGCATATATGAAAATGAAGATATCAAAAAAGGTATCTTATTGCAGCTGTTTGGTGGTACAAAGAAAGATTTTGTTAACAGTGGAAGGGGTAAATTCAGGTAAGTTTGTTTTTGTACTCTCTTAGATCATGTTAAGTAATTCTTTAAAAATTTGAAATTTTAATAGGTAAAAAATTCTACAAGGTTTGTTGGAAATCGAATCATTAAAAAAACTAAGATAAGCCATAAATATGTTGAGTACTGGGAATACACTAAAAATTGACAATATTAACCCTTTGTTTTAGGCTACTCACTTGTCTTAAAAATTGTCTGTGTTTAAAATAATCCTGAATACAGTAATATAGTGCCTTCTGGTATTTCGTTTTCATTATGGCATTTCAACAAGAACCTGACCAAGTTAAAAGCAGTTGAAAAATTTCTAGTATATTATATACAAGATCTTCCAGAAAGAATTCTACCATTTTAAAGTACTGTAATTATGTTAATTATTATTTGAGAAGCATGTTATGTATACCATTCGATATAGTAACTATCTGCATTTCTAGTCATATAGTAACTATCTGCATCTGCATTTCTAGACACGCGGTAAAATATCTCGAAAAGCTGGAAATCCACAGGGCACAGAAGAGCGCGCAGTGTATCAACTATAGGGATGCCGACGGGCTTTCGTCCGCTTGGAAATCTTTTTGCGACGAATTGGCATAGATCTATATAAAAGGCTCAATCAGGCTTATGATGATCGGTTTATTAAGCACACGAAAATTTGTATATAGCACTTTCGTTTGTAACACGTTGCCTTTTAATTTTTTACATAACCGTTATTTGGAATTTCCGTTGCATAATTTTTCGAATTTTACATTTCGAATTAGAGAAATAACTGATGATGAACGCTTAATGCGTTTGAAAACGTTTTTAAATTATTAAAGAATTTTGCTGGATAGTTGAATGGTTTTTATTTTTATCTGCGTTTCCCATCTGCATTCAAACATCTTGTTGTCTACTACCTAGGAAGCAACGTAAATAAAAACGACAACTGTGCAACAGAGAAGGCATTTTTTGTCTGATACATTTTAATACATTTGATGCAACTGCAGTTTGCAAGGTCAGAATCATCCATCATTGTGCAATGAAAATAATCTGCAGGAGCTGTAGAATTGTGGCTGTTGTGAGAGAAGTGAGAAGGGATGGGGAATCGGCAGAAAAATACACTACTACAGACTCCTGAGTCTATTTTTTAAAAAATTGATTCTAACTAACTTGCCATCCCTGGAAGTGACAATGAATATGTTATAGTGAGAGTAGAAAGAATTTGAATATTGATGCATTCCATGTGACAAGGATTTCATACACTGAGCAAGTTGTAATGGTAAAATGTTAAACTTGAAAAGTTTTCCAATGTTTTAATATGCCTTACAACATTCTCAGATAATAATAATAATAATTGACATTAATTACAATAATATATTTTGGAGGATCTTGTATATATATGAAGTTAACAAATTCTGGACAAAGACTTTTAAACAAATAATTTGTACAGAAAAATTTTATTTTCCCATTTTGTTGTAATCTATCAAACTATCTTTGCATTATCTAGTAAATGCATTACTTTCTTCACAAATCTATTAATATTTTATGCTTTTATTTTAATCTTTTCAGAGCCGAAATCAACATTTTACTTTGTGGTGATCCTGGGACCAGCAAATCACAACTTTTACAATATGTTTTTAATTTGGTACCTCGAGGCCAATACACATCCGGTAAAGGATCGAGTGCAGTCGGATTGACAGCTTACGTTACAAAAGATCCTGAAACAAGACAGATGGTTTTACAAACGTAAAGTTTCTTTCTTAAATTCAATCTAAAACAATTTAAATCAATCTTATTTGAAATTTTATATCAAAGTATAAACAGGAATAACTTTTTACAGTGGTGCTTTGGTATTAAGTGATAATGGAATTTGTTGCATTGATGAGTTTGATAAAATGAATGACAGCACAAGATCAGTACTTCATGAAGTGATGGTAAGGTTTTAATTGTTTGTCAAAGTAGTAGATATAGCATAAAATTAATATATTCCATTTTCAATATCTTAAAAAGAATATTATTCTCTCTCTCTCTCTTCAGCACTCATAGTCCCTGAAGGACCTTGGCCTCATCCAGGATTTTCACCCATTCCTCTCTATCTTTGGCTTTCCCTTTCCAACAACTCACATCCATCTTTTTAAAATCATCATTCACATCCTCATTCTTGGTTTCCCTCTCAGTCTTCTTCCCTCTGGCCTTTCTCTGTACACCTGATACACTTTTCTTTCAGGTTCCATCTGTTCTAAATGCCCAATCCAACGAAATCTCCATTTTTTAATTTCTGCTTCAATATCAGGATTTTCATATAAATCTTCAAGTTCTTTATTACTTTTAATTCTCTATTCTCCTTTATCCTTTACTGGTCCATATATTATTCTCAGAATTTTCCTTTCAAATCTTCTCAACTATTCTTCATGTTTTCTTGTCAGTGTCCAAGTTTCAGAACCATACATGATTACAGATCTTATAATAGTTTTATATATTCTAATCTTATTGCATCTTCATATTTCTTTAGATGTTATAATTCTTCTTAACGTATAATAGCTTTTATTTCCCGCTGTCATTCTAGCCTTTATTTCCTCATCAATTTCATTCTTTTCTGTTAACTGTGTTCCTAAGTATTGAAATTTATTCACTTATTTGAATTTATGTAGAATTTATATGTAGAATTTGTCCCCTTGACTGCTAGCATTCTTTCCTTGTTAACTTCATATATTTTGTTTTTTCATCGTTAACTGCTAAGCCTTTATCTATAGCTGCATCATCCATTATTTTAAATGTCTCCTCAATTACTTCTTTAGATCTTCCCAATATAACAATATCATCGGCAAATGCTAAGCACTGTAAATGTTTATTGAAAACCGTTCCACCTGCATCCACATCCATTTCTTCATATTCTTTTCTCATTATCACTACCAAGTTAAATAAAACTGTAGAAAGTGCATCTCCCTGTTTAAGCCCTTTCTTTATTGCAAATGTTCTTGAAATATATCCCTGCATCTTAACCATACCCTCAGTCTTTCCTAAAGTTAACTTTGTGAGATTTATAAGTTTTTGAGGGATTCCCAGTTCTTGAAGACTCTCCCAAACTTTCTCTCTTCTTATACTATCATAAGCTTTTTTGTAATCGATAAAAAGTTGGTGTATTTCAATATTATATTCATAGCAAATCTCTAGAATCAGTCTTAGTGTAGAAATCTGATCTTTAGTTGATATGTTTTTTCTAAAACTGCATTGATAATCTCCCACTGTTTTTTCCATGCAAACTGCCAACCTTTTTGCTATTATTTTTGAAAAAATTTTATAAACTACATTCAGTAAAGTTATTCTTCTGTAGTTACTACAATCTAATTTATCTCCTTTTTTGTGAATTGGGCAAATTATTCCTCTATTCCAGCTTTGTGGCATCTGTTCTTTTTTCCAGATTTTCCTAACAAGCTTGCCTAACTCCAGTTCCAATTTCACACCTCCTGCTTTTATCATTTCCGACACTATTCCATCCTCTCCAGGAGCCTTGTTGTTCTTTAAAGTTGTCATTGCCCATCTCAATTCTGTTAGTCTTGGATATTCACATCCCCATTTGCACTTTCTTCTCCTTCTTCATCAGAATCAACTTCTGTGTCCTCATCTATTAGTGTGTCCATTTGACCCTCAATTGATCCTACTCCTTTGTTCAGTAGTACAGTCGACCCCCCTATAACGCGGGTTCATATAATGCAGATTCGTATTAGAGTTTCTCAAACGGGATCCCAGGATCCCGGTTGTTTTTTTAACCCAGGAAATTTTTCTTATCCCGGGAAATCCCGCAAATTTCTTAAAAATTCACTTTTTTTCTTATTTTGTGTTAAGGTTGAGGAATTTTGCAAATAAAAAGCATAATTAACTCATTCGGAATCAGAAAGGGCATTCTCGGTGGCAAGACTTTTTCATTACTAAAATAAGAATTAGAGTGAGTTATCGGAGTATTGACCATCTTTGCTTTTTAAAATCTTATAAAAGTTTGCAATATTTTGTATTATATTTTATTTAAAAAACGAAAATTACCTTCTAAATTAGAAGTTCATTTTTTTAATTTTTAACTCAATTCAAAACATTTTTTTTGTTGTTGTTGTATGCAGTTTCCAGCAAACTTTAATTAATTTTTTTCTATTTGTGAAAATTTCTACGTTATTTAAAGGTAATTTTTATTATAGGCCTATAGACCTTACACAGCATTATTAATATGATTTTGGAGGTTACAGAACTTTAAAATTACTTTAAAAAATGAAAAATAATTATATCATTTGATTTCAAGATATTTTGTATACCTTAAAAATAATTAATTCTATCCCGGGATCCCGGGAAGCAGTTCACTTTTATCCCGGAATCCCGGGACAAGCAAAAGATCGGGAAATGAGAAACCCTAATTCATATATCGTGGCAAAAAAATTGCGACTGTATTCGTATAAAGACACTAAAAGAGACTCGTAAAATGCGGTAAAACGTCATCACTGACTCATGTCACGACAGGATTGGTCCAATCTGGACCAATAGTGGACGAGCAGCTGAACTACTTACACACTACGGAGAGTTTAGGAGGGTAAGTTGGGTTTACTATCATCTGTACAGTATATAAATTAGGTACCGTAAGTCTAGTACAGCACTGTAATTTTATACATTTCTTGTGAAAAAAACATTTCTTAATAAAGATAGAGCATAGAAACTTTTTATTCCAAAGCTAAAAGACTTCTCTAAGTAATATAAATATGTATTCGATAATTTTTACTTTCCGGCTGATATATATAACAGAGGAAAAGTATAGTGCTTGGTCAAAAAAATGACCCCTCCCAAATTTTTACATTTTTGAACTCGGGACACCTTGAAATTTCAAGATATGCAAAAGATTTAAGGTTTTTTTTACATGTGTGGATGTTAGACTGTGTGTGGGGGGGCATGATTTTGTTCACCCTGTTGAAGCCTAATAATTTCTGTGATCAGAGTGGTCAGAATTGGAGTCAGATGGTTTAACTCAGGAGTTAGTTATTAAGCGTCAAAGTGGTTGAACTAAATCGTGTCCCCATGTACATTCTAACATCTTAGGCGAGAACATCTTAATGGGTTTTACTGTACTATTATAAAATGGCAAAAAAGCTTACTTTGAGGGTAGAGATGAGTTTTATTTTATTTTTTAAAATTTTGAACGCTAATAACGAGTAAAATATTTATTAAGAGATATGACACATGACCGCTTTTATGTCTTCACTCTGTCGACCTTTAATTAAGAACCAAAATTTAATGGTATTAATGCCCCTTTATACGCAAGCTATAGTGCCACATTTTGTTTCTTAAACTTTACCCATTCTGAGATATTGTTTAATATCTCAGAACAGAAAATAAAGAAATTAAACAAATTAGACGTCAACACACACATGCGTGCAAATTTTTTCCCTTTATTAACTTTTTTGAAGGGTTCGGGAGGTCTCCAAACACGCAGATTTGCAAAAAATCTTGGAGGGTCAAATTTGACACGATTTTAATACTTTTCCATTTTATATACGTAACAAGTTGGTAAGTAAAAAGGAGTCGGAGTCAGCAGATTTTTTTGACGACTCCGACTCCGGCTAAAACACCAAAACTCTACGACTCCGACTCCACAGACTCCACAGCCCTGGTATAAAATGTTCTCATTTCATTGTTTCTATTTTCCTCCATTTTTTTTAACTTTGCATTTATCCATTCCCTCTTTTTCTTCCTGCACAATTTAGATGCCAGTCTTCTCTTCTCTTTGAAGTCTTCTATATTGCTTTCAGATTCGTTTTGAATCATCTTTATTCTCACATTTCTTCTTTCCTCTAATGCATCCCTATAATCTGAATCAAACAAATTGTTTTTCCTTCTCTTTCTACTTTTACCAAGTACTTCTGCTGCTGTTGTGATGACACTTGATATTATATCTTCCCACCTTCCTTCAATGTTTCTTGGTCTCTATCTCCTCTTCTTTGCCTCATCAGGTTTTGTTCAAGCACCCGCTGATATTTAATTTTGATTACATTCTGCTTTAAAGATTCAACTTCATATCTTATAGCACTATTTCCCCTTCCACTTCTAGGTTTGATTGATATTTTTTGTCTATAGTTTGCCCTCACTAAGAATATTATTATTTATCAGAAATGGGAATGCTTTTGAAAATGGAATAAATTTAAAAACACTAATTTTATTTCATATTTTGAAAACTGATTTGCTGATGTATTTTCTGTGAATAGTTAAAATAATTATATAAATATTAATACAAATTTCTAATCAAATATCCAGCTTAAATTAATCATGAATATCAATTTTCTATATGAATAATTATACTTTACTTTCATGAAAAATTGTTAAAAAAAAACAGACAAACTATAGTCCTGTAAACAATGGCCATTTTTTTGTTTCCATCAGTGTCATATTTTACATGTTTAACTGTAAAAATATTTCAATAAAAACATTTAATTAATTAAAATAATTTATACTAATGATAACATATACAGTACATATTAATTTTGATTCTGATGAAACCGTGTTGTAGTTTGCTTTATACAGACATAATAAAGTGACTTTTTTCAAAACACTTGGCAGATTATTCATCTCTTTATTCAGTTGGTTAACCAACTGAATAAAGAGATGAATAAAGTGTTTTGAAAAAAGTCACTTTATTGTGTCTGTATAAAGCAAAGTACCTATTAATGTTAAACAAACTGCTGGATTTGCTTTGTTAATAATCCATCAGGTTCTTAGGCATTTACAACAATAATATAAATAAAGTTCAAATTGATAGAAATGCAATTAAATATAAATAATATTTATATCAATTATATTTAACAGAAAACTTTAATATTAAGAGCTCTCTGACTGATTTATCAAAGTCTGTCTAGATGTATAAAGTTAAGTAGAGCAGCTCACCATTTAACTGGATTCCTAGAATATTTGGAGAATAAGGTCAATCACAGCCACCTGCAGAATGAAGTGCAGATGACTTCATTCATAGAGCATAACTCTTTTTATTTAAAATTATTCTGACAAAACAGATAGTTGTTATTTTGTCTCAGTTTTGTGTACAATTTAAATTTTCCAATGACCTAGTTTAGAATTAAGCTCCCAGTGGATTGTTTATTTTAAAGAGAAAGTATAAACATCAAATTTTTGTTGTTAGAAAAGGACTTGGAGGGAGATATGACATTTTTCTTCATTTCCTTTTTTTACTTAAAAAAGCAAACATAGGTTTAAATTTTAAGCATTTACTTTTAGGAACAGCAGACTCTATCCATAGCCAAAGCTGGAATTATCTGTCAGCTAAATGCTCGAACTTCAATCTTAGCTGCAGCCAATCCAATCGAATCACAGTGGAATAAAAACAAAACTATTATTGAAAATATTCAGTTGCCTCACACATTATTATCAAGGTTTGTTTTTTATCATCATTATTGAATTTTTATAAAAGAATTGTTTGCTAAAATTTAATTTTTATAATTTTTAAAATATGTTAATGTGTTCAAATGTAATTAGGATCCATCTTACAACTTTATTTTAAATAGCCAAACAATATATAACAAAAATATTTTTGTTGTTCAGTCATTCAGAAACTGTTTTGTATTTAATTTGTAATATTAAAAATTTTCAGATTTGACTTGATATTTCTTATGCTTGATCCTCAAGATGAAGTATACGATAGGCGTTTAGCCAGACATTTAGTTTCATTATATTACAAGACTCAAAAAGAAGAAGAAGAAGAATTCCTGGTTATTTGCTTTTATTTTAATGATTGATTTTTAATTTAAATTCTGATTATTATTTTCCTACTTAAATATTTTTCCTGTTACAGGATTTAAATCTTTTGAAAGATTACATTGCATATGCACGAACTTACATTTTCCCAAAAATTACCGAAGAGGCAGGCCAGGCTTTGATAGAAGCCTACGTCGACATGAGAAAAGTCGGGAGCGGCAGAGGTCACGTATCTGCATTTCCTCGTCAATTAGAATCATTAATTCGTCTTTCGGAGGCACATGCCAAAGTCAGACTTTCTAGTTCAGTTGAGTTGGTCGATGTAGAAGAAGCTAGAAGGTATTTAGATAGTCACAAGCTAAGTTGTTTTAATCTTTAAACATGATGTAAATTATATAATGATAATTATAGATTGCACAGAGAAGCTCTTAAGCAATCGGCCACAGATCCTGCTTCCGGGAAAATTGATATTACTATTCTAACAACTGGTATGAGTAGTTCAATCAGAAGACGACGCTTAGAAGTTGCACAAGCATTAAGAAATCTGCTAAAGGGTAAAGGAAAAACTCAAACTTTCAATTATCAGAAAACATATTTGGAGCTGAAAGAAAGTTCTGATATTGTAAGTGTTCTTATTGATTTTTTAGTAAAAGTTAAATTAATTATCAGTAAATATTTAACATTTTATTAAATTTGTTTTCTCTTCTAGATGATAACGAAAGAAATGTTTGAAGATGCTGTAAAAGATCTTCAAGATGACGAATTTTTAGTAGTGACCGGAAAGAGCACCATTCGCATTTGCACTTGATTAATATTAATCTTTTATTTCAGTTATATTTCTTGTTAATTTTAATTTCTTAACAATTTTGCACCAATAAAAATATAATGTTTAAACTTTATATATATATATATATTTTTAATTAGAACAACCTTAAAATGTAAAATAAATTGTTATAAAAATTGATTTAGTATAATGAAAATAAACTTATGAATGTTTCATTATCATTAATATTGGTTTAGATTTGTGTATAGTGGGTAAAATTTTATGGATATTTTTCATTACAAAAAAATAAATAGTAAATAATGCATTACTTAATTATAAAGGTAGATCAATATGCAGTTTGTTTTTGGCTGGTTATTTTATTAATTCAGTCTTACATAATGAGTAGAAACCCTTATGTTGAAATTAAGATGAAGTTGAAGGAAATGAACACAATTAATGTAATGAAATATTAATGCAGTGTCCTCTTATTTATACATTATACTTATGAAATAAACATGTTCAGATCAGAATGCACACAAATGAAATGCCATGGCAGCATCCAAGAGGCAAGATGAGGCCTTGACCTCATCTTGTCTCCTAGCTTTCTGTTGGTATTGTGTTAACTTTAAAAATTTCATGAATAGTTGTGGCAACAATTACTGGTTTTCATAGGCGGTCCCTTCCAGATATGTCAAGCCCCGTCACTTACCTCATGAGTACTAAGAAGGTATGTAAGAAAATATTCCATATTCATTGTGGGTATGGAACAAAGACCTTTGTACCCACAAGGCAAAAGTTTAAACAATAATAGACTAATAGTAATAAATTATGATTTTTATGTTTTTAAATATGAGATTATTTTCTATGCAGGAATACAAATTATTTTCAGATTCTGATTATGTTAGATAATTGAAAATATATATTTTATTTTATTCTTTTATATGACTTTTTTATAAAAAAAACAATCTATGTAAAAAGAAATTAATGAAGACTGTACATTTATGTTGCATTTAATTATATTTGTGAGACAAACGAACTTCAGATGGTGTTGCAAATCAAAACAACATGGTCATCATGAGTTAATCTAGCTCCTGTGCAATATGTCACAGCCTATAAAAAGTGCTTGGCCAAATGGTTAAAGCGACAACCCAATGCTCTAGAACCGTGGTTCTCAATTTGTGGTCCGTGGAACACTGGTGCTCCATGAAGCCATTTCAAGTGTTCCGCGAAAAAATCAGATATACAATTAAAAATTGTTGCAAAAGAAAAATCACTACTATTAATGTAATAAATTCAAACAAATCAATGTAAAATAATTTTGGTATGGAACAGGGGCGTGCCGTTACATTTGATGATAGGGAAGCTGTGTTGCTATAAGAAGCCGACATCCAGGGGCAATCAGTTAATTATTTCTTTAAATGTATTTTTAATAGATTATTTATCTGACGTACTTAATAAACAAGTTCATTATAATTACCTCTGTTATTAGATCCAATATATTCCATATGCCCTGTAAATGCCAATTCTTGCTTTGATAAAAGCATATAACATCTATTTATTTAGATATAATATATCTATTACCCATAATTATCTCGTTACAATTTTCAATATTTATTTTTTATTATATACTAATGTTAAATTCTATTCTTCTACGATTTCCAAATTGCTTCAAATACGAAATAATCGACGGTTTTTCGTGTCTTTTGCCAGCTAAATTGTCAAAGCCATTCTTATTCCACACACTAATTTCATTCGAAAATAGTAGGCAAGCCAACAAAACAATTTTTGCATTTTTATGCATTTACAGAGCCATTTTATCGTGAAAATGTCGAACAAATTTTTTTATTGAAGTGTTTATATTTAACTTAGGCATTGGCCTTTCTCTTTTAATAATGTTTTCTTTTTCATTATATGATCTCGAGCCAAAACTTTTTTAAAATAAATTTTCAATATCGCAATTACATTCCGAATCGCTAGCCACGATATAAGGGCTAAAATTAAAAATAAAATTATAAAAACTTACTTGGTGAAATAAAATGTGTGGTGGATATACATACCTGGTACAAAACATTCTTCAATTGTATGAATATACTTTTAAAGAAAATTATAATTAAATATAACTTTGTAATGAAACGTACATGAAAATAACATAAAATATTCTTTACTCTTTAAATCTTAACCACTTAGTCAAATAGCTCCCTACGAGTGGAATCAGAGACGGTCCTGCTAGGTGTGCGGTGTGTACTGTACATGCACGCGGGCTGCCAAATCCCGAGGGTGCCGATACCCTCGGGATTTGGCAATGTCAAATGTTTCTTTTGTCGCATCACTAATATACCTCAAAAGACGCGACAGGGTTCTTGTAAATTTTAAACGTTTCTCACCATAGCTGTAAAAGTCTATATGTTAAACTTAATAGATTGTCCGTCTTTTGTTTTCTAACTAATTCGTTTTAGGACCAGGTGTTGTCCACGGAAATTTCCAAAATTTACAACTTTTCGGTCACTCTCGTCGAACTGGAAAAATTTCTGTCTTTATTACATCTAATACAGTATTTCGAAGAAATCAGTCCCCACTGTACTCGGCTATAGATTGGTTCGGTTAAGCTTTTGTTTAAGTAATATTCCGGCTCTTTCATCAGGGTTTTGTTTATGTCCCCAATTCCCTAATCGCTTAATTATTTAACTACTACTTAAGTAGAAATAAGTCGAAACCAGTTACTTTGTACTCGAATATTTGTAGTCTCGGGAAAAAAGTGGAAAGACAAATTTTTATGACAAACGGATACATAAATCGTAAATTTAAGGAAAATAAATTCTAGAGCCTTTTCTGTACCTCGTGCATCTCTCTCATTCATTAAATTTAGTTGTAAATGACGCTGTCGAAGTAACGGTTAATTTTTTAACATTATACAAGAATTGTACACGTTTTTTTCTACATCCCCTTAAAGATGGGATGTACGAAATCGTAATATCACTGGTTTAACATCGAAATCCGTGAGTAATATAAAATCGGAGAGCGGAATAAATATATCAAATATTTTAATGGATTTTTTAAACTCCTGTCAACTATACAGAACTATCGTAAAAACATACCAGTAAATTCTTATCGGTTGGGTTAAGTTATAAATCTACTCGTTATTCACGTAATCGAAATATCTAGTGGGCAGGCGGCTAACAGCCCAGAACCGGTCCTTGATAGAATTGGAATCTTTATATGTGTGCAGCTTTCACCCAAGGTCGTAGGCTTCCACCGGCTAAACCGGGTGAGGTTGGTGCTCTGTAAAGCGCATGCGCAAATCTGGCTTTTCGTAATCTGAAAATACAGGAGATTCCACTCCGCCACTAATATTCTAATATACAATAGCAATTTTTTTTTCCACGTGTAATATAGAAATTTGTAATAAGATACATAATGCGGTTATAATAAAATATTGTGCGATTATTTTCATATAATTAAAATTAATATTTATTTATTTTTTAGAGAATACGAGGGAAGCGGCGCTTCCAACGCTTCTAATGACAGCACGCTACTGGTATGGAATGTAATAAGCAAACGCCAATGTCGTCGTCTACTAGATTAAGTGCGCTTGATTTCAAAAAGGTTTGCCACCCCTGCTTTATAGCTGATGTATTGTAAGTGTTTCGCGGAAAAAAATGTCAAAGTTTAGTGTTCCCCAACTTCAAAAAGATTGAGAACCACTGCTCTAGGAAACCCGGGATCAAATTTGGACGGATCAAAAAATCCCATCAATTTTCCAGAGAGTGATCCATCCAGATACATCGCGTTCCGTCCCTCATCACTCGGCCTCTTCATTGTGGACCCGACCGAACCCGTAATAGGCTTACTAGAAAGGTTTTCTTACTCGGGGAATCTGGGATCGAGAAAAAGTATATAAAAACCATGCCAATTATTCAATATTAATGTGTGTGATATTTTGGCATTGATTAGGGAAGGGTCAAGGATAGTTTTGAACGCAGTTCATATTGTCATTTGGTATTAACAGACAATGCAGAAATTTATGAATTGTTTTATGTCAATAGATATCACAAATCGCAGTCCACAGCATGTTACCTGTAAAAAGAATAATAATAAATTCCAATGGTTCAAACTTAGTGTCTTATCTATTCGACTACCGTCACTCAGAGCCGAAAAAGTTTTAAACGTCCACTCAGCCTGAGTGTTTGGCATTTTTCAGTCGACTAATCATGACTAACGACTAATGTTGCCTCTATTAGTCATTAGTCTTGGATATTCTGATTGATGATTGATTAGTCGTGTTAGTCATAATTCGAAATACATTTCTTATCTACGTATAATTTGTATTTAACTAAGAAATTAGATCTTCCTTAATCGGTTTTTATCTAAAGATCATTTAAATTTAGTAAATTCCATTAATTTCTGTTGATAATAGTCTTTCGTTAACTTTTTTAGAATGTAAAGTTTCTTAAATGACAAATTGCGATAAAAATAAACTTTAACGACAATTTTAAATAAAAATAACTTACAGGCGCCAAATATATTGGAAGCAGACGATAAAATGACTTGTTACGCCAGTTGCTATGGAAACTAAAGTTCGTCTGCTAACTTTTTTAAACTATTCTTTTTTTATTTAAGTTTTTAAATCAATTATTTTCGTGTATTAATTAAATAATTTAAGAAATATAAATGNCTTCCGGGATGCAAGCAAAATATCGGCAGCGTGGCGAACATGCATACTATAAGAGTCAACAAAGTTAGCATAGCGGCAACTCTCTTAACTTTTGTTTCTATCTGCACTTTATTGTATTTTAATGTATTTTACTGGTATTATTGTAACTACTGTAATTACAGCCAATATGTAGAGATGGCGCTTATACGATAGAATATTTTTTTAAAAACGTTCCAAAAATAATGCTTGTATCGGTAACGCAAATTTTTTAGTTCGAAGTTCGATTGTTCAGTTTTTTCTTGATAAAGACCATTGAATATGGTCGAAAACGTTTGAATTTATCTATTAAATTACGGCTGCATATGTAAAGGTTTGTTTGAGTGTATTTAGTTAAGAAATGCAGTCTCTGACGAGTTATA